GAATACTTTTTATAGGCATTGTAAGTATACACTAGGAGCAGTGGGCAGCCATGGGTGCCAGAGAGCAACTTGGGGTTCTGTGTCTTGCTTAAGGACACTTCAACATGTTGACAGGGGAGCCGGGGGATTGAACCCCCAAACCTTGCAGTCAGGGAATGACCCGCTCTACCCACTGAGTCGCATAATGATATATACTTCATATCATTATATTTCATGCAAAATACTTCAGTTGTGATTAGCTGATAAATAAAGAAAATGTTTTTTTTGTTTGAGTAGGTCAAAATGTGAATTTATGCTTCACTACTATACGTATTATACGTACTACTGCATCATGGATTGGGTTTCAGTGAGTGAAGCAATAGTGTCCTTATATATCGTATATGTTTGTATTGAAAAAGGTATCAAAAAAGCAGAGTTAAAAAAGTGGCCGACCGATGTAAGATATATCACATATCTTCACACAATTGATCACACTTGAAATGTGAAGCTCTTTACATGTTCAAACTGGTCTTTTTTCACAAAATACCCTCAGACCATAAAAATAGATCCCCCTGTAAAATGTAATGCAGTCCAATACAACACAAGAGAGAAAATAACTCATTTGTAGCTGTTGGAGTGGAGAGGAGAGGAGTCATTACTTCCTGTTTATTTAGGCCGTGCCTTATTCATATAATTATTTTAATCTAGTTGTCATTTGATCTTATTCTGGGTAAACAGTGCATTAAGTTTTTTGCTCCCCTTCCATCAGCGTGTTTCTACAGTGACTACATCGTTATCTATTAATTCAATTATCACACTTGTGTCACAGCACAAATTTGGCCCCATCAGCTCAGCAGAGCTTGGGAATCACGCTTTTAAGACCCAGAACTGCACTGCAGCGCAGCCTCTGATTGAAATGGATGGCAGTTGTAAACAGCTATCATTGCCCTTTTATTTGCTTATTTACAGCGCTGTGTGGCTCGCTGACTGACTGAAGCACCAACATGCAAAACCGAGGCCCAGCTGGGCTGCAAATCACATGGAATATCCACTCTACTTTTTGTTCCTTAAGTTAGAATAACAATCCCACTGAGTCTCATTTCACATGATTTTGGGGCATCTGTAGCTCATTTATTATGATAGAGTAGAGTGAGAGGCAGAGGAGGGAGAAGAAGGAAGACACAGAACAAGGAAGATGAAGGATTTAAACTCCACATTGTGACTCATAAACTCTCACTGTCTATTTAGACAAAGACAAGGAGTAGGAAGGAGGAAAATAAATCCAAGCACACATTTCAAAACAGCCTCAGCCTGACTATATTAATTGATATAGTGATAAAGGTGATCAAGGGTGTGAGTAATCTTTTTTTTAAATAATCACAATGTAAGCACTGTCCTTGCAGTTATAAGAGGGATATCTGAATGACACACTGAGGTAGAAACCTGCTGTCAGAGAGGAGGACAAGAGAGACACAAACGGCCACAGCCAATGTGGAACACAGTGCATGGTACAAATGTGGTTAACAGTACACACTCTGCTTTTATTATGTTGAACTCGGTACTACATACAGAATGTGACACTGCCATTGGAAAGGTGTTGTATGAGAGGAGTTCCCACATTGTTTAGCTGAGACTGTCCTCCCTTGAAGAATGAGAGCATCAGGCATTTCAGGCAGTAACGACAAAGCCAAGGGATGTGCATCTCCATCACTGAGGCCAATACAATACGCATCTCGATGCATTGCCAACAATCCAATACATTAAAGGTGGTTCTTGGTAAAGCAGTGCTAATCCAATACACTTTTTTTCAAATTCAGACAGTCCAATATCTTTCAGCTTTGTCTATGCATTTAACCGCTATGTACAGCCCTTACTATGTTTTCCTAAACATAACAAGTACCTAATTTACCTTGAGCCAGGATCTTTTCCTAAACCTGACCAAGCAGTGTTTGTGCCTAAACCTAACCAAACCTGAATTACAGTGTTTGTGATTTTGAGTTTTCAGTTTGTCATAATGCTTTTTGAAGGCACAGGCAAAAAATGAACTGCTGTCGATATGAGGCATCAAATCAGAAGACCCTTGTATGTGTTGTGGAAAGGGATGGATAAATGGCGCATTTTGTCATTTAATTCGGAGGACTTGTTTGCCTTAAACACACTGTTGAGTTCTCTGTGGTTCCTTGTAAATGCACTGTTGTATTATACGGCATTGTGCGTGAGATAATGGCAGCAAAGGCTGTTAGTATTGTCACTTCTGGTAATGTCGGTGCAGGCTTTTGTTTCAAATGAACTTTTCTGTAAGTTACTGAACTGAAGGGTTGTTTTTAGGTGAAAAGGCAGGGATTCTCACTTGATAGACTTAGATTTAGATTTAGATTTGCTCTGTTTCTTTAAAGAAGTCAAGCCAAATGATGAAATGACAAAAAAGTTTGTTAATGTAACCTGCACTTTCTGTAATGGAAACCAAGTGTCGCTACTTGACTCCAGTGATGAAATAAAGTGCAAGACACCCATTTGCCTTTTATTAAAAAAAGACTAATGGTATGATGAAGAGATTCTCAGTCCTAGATGTATTCCTTCCTAGACAACCTTGAGGTTCATTTGAATTGGGGGGGCTGTTCTTCACATTAAAGGTAGCAGTGTCAAATTAGAGATGCTCAGCAGGAGTAAGAAAAGCATGATGAAAGATTTGGTTTGAAGACATAGGAGACCTCAGCGCTTCATTCTGCTCTAACTCCAATACCCCCAATGATGGTAATTAGGCAGTATATGCCGACTCTGCTAAACCACCACTGAGCTCCTTCCAATTCAGCACAGTGCACGCCACTTTAGGAGACATTAGCCTCAGCAGTTATGTAGCAAAAGAGAATTCATTACATGTAATTTGCCGTTGGTCGGTTTTTAGCAATTTGTCAGGTATTTCAGAAGATTTCTTA